AAAAACAAAGCTGAGAACTTATGAAAAATTCAAAGACTCTTATAATTTTGAAAAATACTTGGATGTGCTAAATTTGAAACAAAGAATTTCAATGACAAAATTTCGAACTAGTAATCACAATTTAGCAATAGAAAAAGGGAGACATATGCAACCAAAAATACCTACTGAAAATAGAATTTGCAAACAATGTACACAGAATGAAAAAGAAGATGAACTGCACTTTGTTATGAAATGTCCACAATATAAAGTAATACGCCAACAAATCATACAAGACATTATATTTCCACAAGAAACCCAGGATGATCTCCAGAAATTTAATTTCTTGATGACTTCAAAAGATGATGTAATAATAAAAAAGATTGGCAACTATATTCATAATGCATTTCAATCAAGAAATAAAAATGCCATTTGATATGTAACACTTGCTTTATCTTTTTTTAACAACTAACTTTCTTTTTGTAGTAGTAGTTATCACAACTAATCTTTATTGCTATTAACTGATAGAAACATTGTATTTCTAAGGATGCAATAAAGTTATTATTATTATATGGACTCATAGCGACGTATACAACGCGTGTAAAATACATTGTTTATTTACATGAAATTCAAAGACGCGCTGCGCGACGACCACCGCGCTTTAACCAATGATGAGTACCTTGTTAAAGACATTGAACACCAGGCATCTCTTGGGGCTAGTGACCATCAAGTTCTGACTCGGAGCTTTGGAATTAGCTGTACAACGTCGGTCAAACCTCCCACCTCTAATACCAGTTACCTATACAACCGAGCAAACTATTTCAGTATCCGGGATACATTCTCTAGATATGACTGGAGCGATTCCCTCAAATGCGACAGTATAGTAGGTTACTGGTCGGCTGGTCGGCTATGAAAAACAAAATAATCAATGTTGTAAATAAGTTTGTACCTAAGTGCTCTATCAATAGGAAAAGTACTCACTTTAAGCCTAAGTGGCTGACTAGATTTACACAACTTAATATAAATCTATGAAAAATAGAGTTACTAAGGAAATCAAAGCTGCTAAACGTAACTATGAACAATCCCTGATCAGCGGTAAGGGAGACAAAACGAGCTTTTATTCATATGTTAACTCTAAACGCAATGTGAAGAGATCAATTGGCGCCATTAGAGTTGGCACACAGCTAATTGAGGACAGCGCTGAAATAGCGGAACATTTCAATAAACTTTGGGTCAGTTTTACCAACTACTACTAGTATCCCACGTATCCCCGTTCAGACTGACAAAGTCCTTGATAGGATATTCTTCGATAAAATGACTGTTCTGAAGAAGTTAAATAAACTTGATACTAGTAAATCTGCTGGGCCTTTTTTCTCTTTTTTGTTAGTTTTCTAGTGCCAGTGTATGTACTACATGTACATGCTATTGTGGATACGATTCAATAAATAAATAAGTATAAATAAGTATAAGTAAGTAAATAAGTACATTAACAGTGTCCCTCAAATAACCAATATAATCTAAAGGTTGACAACATTGTTTTTTTTTCGCTTATTTTGGAATTTGTTTTAATGTCCTATTATTAAGAAGGCGTTGACGAGGAAAATGTAAATGTTACGATCGTGTGCTTTTTTTCCTTCTTTTTTTGTGTAAAATATACCGGTATGTTTTTATTTTGTGTTATAAACTTAAAAGTTGGACAATGTCTTTTACGTTACTCGAGTAGCTGTACCTTCTTGTCTCCAACTATTGGTCTATTTTCACTATATTCGTATCAGATCTATGTATTGGGTTACAATAATATAGAAAAGCAGAACGACTGATGGCTAATATTTATAATAACAATTTCAACAACTTTAAACTTAAGACCAAACTTTTTGAAATGTTACAACTACCTATTTTACTATATGCATCTGAGTTATGGGGTATATCGGTTAAGACAGAAAAGTGGGACACCACTATTTTGAATATTAATAATAGAAGTAGTACAATAGGCTGTAGGCTTGAAACTGACAGGCTACCTTTAATTTCAAAGATTCAAATTCAAGCTGTCATATACTACCAAAACATTAAAAACAATGGTCCAATTAATTTTAATACATTCTTGTAAAACTGGTAAAGCATATGGCCCTGGCAACATAGTCAATAAATGGTGGGGAATCAATAGTACAATCCTTAACAGGGAAACAAATATTTGTAAATCCAATTTATAAAAAAAGGAGGAAAAACAACAATAGAGATAAAACCTTAAAATCATCTGTGTCAAAAGTATATGCTAAAATAGAAGAAACAAAATTAAAGAAATTTGTTGTAGAAACTAGACGAAATATCAAGGTGTTTTTTTTAGAAAAGACATATGATGTGAGGATAATGAGTTTACACTAAAGGCATTGCTTTTATTCAACTTGTGTTGCCTTCCTTGATTTTTCTAAGGATAAAGTTTGGAGAGATGGGTTGTGATGAATTACTTTATGAAACGCAGGAATCAGATGGAAGCTAAGGGATATAATTGATGACCTGTATGACAATGTTCAGAACAAAGTCAATTTTAATGATATTGAAACAGATTATTTCAAAACTAATGAAAGAGTTAAACAAAGGTGTGTACTAAGTCCTTTACTATTCTCAATTTACATAAATGAATTCGCCAAAATGTTATACAAATCTAAACTGGGGGTAATGATTGGAACACAATGGTCTATTCTGGGCAGATGACATAGTCTTCGTAACAAATATGTGATCAACATTTGTAGAGCAATGGAAATTAAGCTTTAATCGATCTAAATTCAGATAATGTATTTTGGAAAGTAACAACGTACAATCAATCAATCTGCAACAATCTGGAAATTAGAAAATTTGACACTTCAAAAAACTAAAACATACAAATATAAGCGTCATTATCTCGAAATTATTGAATGATCATTCACATGTTATGGAAACTTATAAAAAACATTGGACAATATGAGCATACAGTAAATCTATTATAAATGAACATAAGAGTTACATCATCATGACATCTCCCCCGTCTTTAAGGCGAGGTCAAACGCAATAGATTTGGAAGGGAATAAAACAGAATGGGAAAATTATAAAGATGACAGGGTATGTAAGCTTTGTAATGATGGAAAGGAGTATGTTTATCACTTTTTATTTCTTTGCAAATCAACTAACCACTTAAGAAGTAAATTTTATTCAGCACTGACCAATACAATAGTGGAAAGTGGTGGAGAACCAACTATTGTAGAAAGACTTTTTTGATAGGTAATTTTGTAGATAATTTTCTCTTCTGTGATGCTTTATGGGCAACCAATAAGGTACATGTATTGGGAAATAATACATCAATGGGAATCAAAGACTTTCTTACCCGCCAATGGAAATTCAGAAACTGAATCATTTACCTTAATGCTTTTATTATAGTTATTTTTTTGTTTTTGTTTTTTGTTGTTGACTTGTATGTTTCTTTTTACGCTGTTTAAAGGCTATTAAAATATTATTATTATTACCGTGTAAAATTTAACGTGTGCTTTGTTTACGTGACATATGTCGATCAATAGGAGTGCGCCCGAGCGCGGACTAATACATCGATTAAAGATATACTTTGTCTGGTCTAAATGTGGTTCTGTGTGTATGTGTATGTGTAATGTTTTATCTTTTTCAATTTTTGACTTTAAAATGTTATCAATACTTTGTGCGGTACACATACACACACTTAGGATGCCGCTACGGTGGACAATAAGAATGGAAATATAAACAAAGCAAGCAATTAACTGCACGGCGTTCCCAATCTCACTCTTACTAACTGGCAACTTATGCTCCAGGTAAGGTTGAATTATTTTCACCAGCTTGGGGAGTCCCAGGTCAAGGTTTGCAAAAAGGTCACTACATTTTGTTGACTCGGAACCATGTTTGGAACTGTGTCACTTGGCAAGAGTGGATAGTCAGTGGACATTTAATTCAAGTATATTCAAGACCAAGTATTCACCAAGACCAGAGCACTTACTTTGCGATGTCGTTGAAAGAATCATCACCAATTCGGGTGAATCCCGATCTGAGGAAAGAGCGAGAAAAGGCTTCATTCAATATTTCTGAACTTACTTACATTATTGACAGGGGTGAAGATAAAACAAATCGCAGACGGTATCTAGGTAGGTAATATACAAGGTTATCAGTGCTTCTGAACCTTGGGAGTATATGATGGACGTTGATGTAGAAAAACAAACAAACAAGGCTGCTTTAAAGTGAACCAAATATTTTTTTTTCGGAATCATGTATTCCATTGCGAATTTATCTAAAAATATTTGATACAGTGATTAAACCAGTCCTTCTGTACTGTTCAGAAATTTTGTCAAGTGACATCATTAAACACACAAAGGATTTGCGTAACTTTGCAGCTCCAATGGAAAAAAATTCACACCAAGTTTTGTAAGATTTGCTCTTGCAATATGAGATGAGGATAAGCTGATATGGCAGAAAACACACTAATGAGTGAAGCATATAAGCTTGGTTTGAAAATGCCCAACTTGGATGTCTAGTGTGATTCAAATATTAGATGATTTAAAACTGATTATTTGGAAAAACGATGAATTAATTAAACTACAGTGAAGCCTTAATAAAAGGAGTATGTGTTCCTAACTGTAACAACCACCCCATCAACTTCATTAGTTTAACTGACAAAACATGCAATTTACCATGGAAACGCATCACAACATCTGAATTTTGTGTTCAATTTACCATGGGAATGCATCACATCACGCATCCCTGTGTTTGGGAATTATGCCAAGGTATAATGAATAAATAAATTTTGACTAACAAAGATAGTGTTGCACAGACACATCGTAGCAGTTTATCTCCATATCAATTCAGTGCATGATTAATATTTTTTTTGGAGAAGCCAAATATTATCCAGATTTGTAATCAGGCTGTTTGACTTCACTATTATCTCATTACATGTATATTGCTTGCAGTGTCCTTGGCATTAAATGATCCTGATTTTAATGAGACGAATATGAACTTCCTCAGTCGTGATGAGCAGTACTCCAGCGTCGTCAGAAGATCTGTACACATTGTCCAAAAACTGAGAAAAATGAAATTAACAGACCTTAAGGATCAGTTTATATATAAAGCGTAAGTTATATATTTTCAGAGCTTAAAATAAAATTCAAAGTGGTTTACCATTAAAACTTATCACCAGATTTCCTTGACTTTTACCTTATTTCTTTATTGCTCACAAAATTCTGGAAAAAAATATGATCAATTGGCAAAATGGCAATTTTTTCATTATTTTTTTCTCAAAATGTTGTTCCTGTACATTGGTGAAATGTGTTAAACAGGACCTATCAACATGTTCACCATGATTTTGAATGGTTTGTCAACATTTTTAAAAATTACATGAAATGAATGTATAAATGAAATCTAATCTGAATTTGATTAATTTTTTTAGAGCTGCTCTGCGTGGCCATGGCAGTATTTTTGCAATTCATGATTTAATGCTGATACCAATGCTACAAAACTTTGCCACTGATGAACAGAAGAAAATATTTCTTTCCAAAGCATTGAACTATGAGATAACTGGTACATACCTACAAACTGAACTTGGTCATGGTGAGTCTTTCTGGTACATACCTACAAACTGAACTTGGCCATGGTGAGTCTTTCTGGTACATACCTACAAACTGAACTTGGCCATGGTGTATTTTGTAACAATCAATAAAATGATGTTATTTTTTGTATAAATCACAATTTTATTTACGTTTGACTTTCCTATTGACCTGTTTAAAACAACAGATTAAAATAGACACTGTTCTAAGGAGAAACATAACATGATGGACATTTTCAAATTTTGGAAAATTTGGACAAGGGAAGTTATAACTACATGTATACTATTTCAAATCCTAATATTAACATTTTTTAACATAAGAAGTATTCTATGCAATGAGTTTCCTTAAAAATAATGAGCTCAAATTTCCACGGCATTGTATCATTGATTTTTTTTAAGATGTCAAAACATGAAATTGAATCATGACCTTGTTGAAACAGCTTTTAGACAAATACAACTTATAGATACAGGTCTTTTAAACTATATAATTTGTTGAAAGAGAGTTTTCTGAGGATTTTTATGAAAGTTTTCAGAAAATACTTTGTGGAAATTAAGAGACATTCAGAAAGGTTTTTGTATTTATTTTGTGAACACCAGGCTATTGAAAATTGAGTGTATACTTTGTGCATAAAAGCAGAATGGTATTGTGATTGACTTTTTAGTTCATATTGTCTTTAGGTACATTTGTACGTGGTTTGGAGACTACTGCCACCTATGATCCTGAACACCAAGAATTTGTAATAAATAGCCCTACTCTGACTTCTACAAAATGGTGGCCAGGAATGTGTAAGTACATAGTTACTAAAATGTATTCTATGTGGGTTTGTTCGTTAGTTATAACATTACTTTTATACTCCAATTACAAATCCATTAGGTAAAGCCAGAAATCCATTCTATCTGTCCCCCCTTGTTACTGTCAAGAAATCAGATAAAGTTTGTGCCTAAAGCTATAGTGGTAACTAAGCATCCTTTTTTTGACCTTCATATTTACTTCCTATAGGGTATTTTGCAGAACTAAAAACAATTTAGCTGTTTGTGATTAATACTGTATTTTTCGTAACAATGTGAATTTTTTCCAAGGTGTTTAAATAATTCGTGCCTTTGATGTACTATTCATTGACAGTGGGCAAATCAGCCAATTTTGCTGTTGTCATGGCTCAGCTTTATAGCAAAGGTAAACATTGTGGTTTGCAATCATTTCTTGTACCATTGAGAAGTTTTGAAGACCATCGACCACTTCCGGGTATGTACAGTGTTGTTTATCTGACCGTATTGCATATATTATGAATCACAGTCATGTGTATTTCCTACAAAAAAAAACAGACTTTTGGCAGAAAATATAATTTTCTTAATGAAACATGAAAACTAGATACATGGCTGTGCATACACTGACACAGAAGAATTCAAGGCAGATACAGATTCAAACAAAATACATGGAAAATACAAACTCAGATTCAAACTATTTATTAAAAAAATAATAATTGCCAATGCAAATGTTGCAAACAAATTCAAAGCAAACAACAACAAATTTTCTCTGTTCAAAAAAGCAATAATGATTCCTACAAATGAAACACATTTTGGAGGGTGTGTGGGTAAATATGAAACAAAAAATATGCAACTGACTTTCTTACTTGAAAAAAAAAATCCGACACATTTGCAATTTTCATAAAAATCAAGATAAATATTTGTGCAGTGTTCTCAGAATAGAGTGTGAAATGATTATAAAATTCACCGCAGTCCTTGCTCACATTGTGTTGCATAATTTGCATAATTGACTATGTTGCAGCATGGTTCACCAAAGATGCATCGGTGTATGGCTGATTTATTTTTTGACACAACGTTACAAAGAGTTCTTGCAAAGTAGTATCATGTGAATCATAAAAAAATAAGTTAGTGAATGGTCCTTAAAATTCGACATTTTTTCTGCTGAATAAATGCATTCCCAATAGTTTTTCAAAAAACTATTTTGAGCGCGAAAAAAACTTTCTTTGAGTATTCATCGGTTTGCTTTAGTTCGGATCATGAAATGACCTACATTGTGAATCTTTATCAGATACATCATCGGTGAATTCAAAATTATTAAATTATTATCCATCATCGTAGAAGATTGTAATCAACAAATTGCTTGATGTTTGTGATTATTATAAGGCATTATTTACCAGTGCTAAATAATTTGTACATTGACACAAGGTATAAATGTGCTTGCATCAAGAAATTACATTTACCATAACAAACACTGGCATACCTATTTTTTTAGCTCTGCTGTCGACTTTGTCAAGTGGAGCTTATCATACGAGTGATTGTCCGGCGTCTGTCGTACGTGTCAATGCTTTACTTTTTCAACTTCTTTTTGAAAACTATAAGCCTGAATGCTTTGATACTTGGTGTATATATGTACCTTAGGTAGACCTCTCTTTAGATTTGTTAATTTCATGATGATATCTTCAATTCTCTAATTTTGGTGAATATTTTTGTCATTTTTGGTAAAAAGTGATATTTTCAACTTCTTGTTAAAAACCGCAAGTCCAATTGCTTTGATATTACATATATAGGTACTACATGTGGACCTCTCTCCGACGTGTTCATTTTGTGATGATATCTTTAATTCTCTAATTTTAGTGAATATTTTTGTAATTTTTGGTAAAAAGTGATATTTTCAACTTCTTGTTAAAAACCACAAGTCCGATTGCTTTT